TAAATATCTATCTTCAAGTCATAAAAAGGCACATAAAAAAGACTTGATTTTGAAATTTTATGTAATCACAAAATCTGCTAAAGTAAAAATGATTGTACATATTTAACAGAAAAATTCAGTCAGTATAATGAATTACATTTGTATATTGTTAACTTTAATTTTATGGGGTTGAAACACCAGAGTAAAACAATTTCTAGTCAGTATTTTGGAAATGCCGATGTGTATTAATAATTAAGTTCTTATGACCATGCCTAATGTTCCTATTCATTTGACAAAGGTCAAAGGTGAAGGTCATAATGACTGATTTTTATAAAAAAAAATGTACAGTTTACTATTCAGCACTGAGAAAAGTAGATCGTGCTTGGACAGTCAGCTATTACAGTGTAAAAACCTAGAAAAAATCTCCCTCTGAACCATTCCTAACAACAAAAGTACATTACAGACTTGGTTTGTTCGAGTATGTTCAAGCAGTATTCAACACTTCATGTGCTGGAATCAATGATCCTAAATGATCAGAAGAACGTAACAGCACTGAGGTGAAGTACAGGGCAACCTAAGTGAAGTAAAATATGGAGCTGCTACAAAACGCTTGCTGTTGTGAAGTATAAAAATATCTGGAAAAAGGGACTAGAAGCGAGGCAAGATTCTACAGACTGAAATGTCACATCATCTTATAAAGAAATTTCATGGCAACATTTTTCTGAATTTATGTAACATTGTATTTAATCAATAATATATATAATAATACATAAATTGATGAGAAAGTTAAACCATTGTACTGGTGGAATAAACAACCAAAATAAAATATATTTATATCAGCTTGACTGTGATGAAAGGTTGATGCCTATTTCCACCATTCTTTCAATTAATAATCAGTGGTTGTAAAAATGTCTGTGAGAGAACCAACTTAATATTATAAAATATTTATTGCATTGACTTAGCAGTCTCATTTAGTATTAAAACCAGTTATATACTGTTTAGAAAACGAACAATTTCAAGGGGTCAACGTGCCAGTGGTAATATGCAGACTTCAAATGTGGCTATCTTATGGAAAGTCAATGGTTAAACTTCGGTGCTAAAGAATGCATGATGGGCATCCGAGATAACTTGCATACATGTGAACTTTTTTTTATGATCAAGTGGGAGATTTTTTTCAAAGAGAGGGAGATTTTAGAATTAGCAATAAACAAAGAAGAAAGTTTTGACATCAAAAATAGAGAGATTTTTTTAATTTGTGAAAATACCCCTTATTTCAAGAAAAGTCTTTGAAAATATGGCTGCAGAAAGTGGGAGTCGCCCGCTAAAAGTGGGAGAGTTCACATGTATGAACTTGTCAGGACTAAATTTCTTAACTTTCAATTCATATATATGCTCTAGATATTTACTTCCGATTGTTTTGCTTCATCTTTCTTTTTTAAATACTTCAGTGATATATATTTCTCAGAAACATAATAGACTCTGATAAAAATTTTCCTCCTTTCAAAGTATCCCTAATAGCAGCTTTAAACATTATTTATATGAACATGGAGAAAAGAAACCAGTAAATGGAAACATTTGAGAAAGAATTTCGTACTTGTCACACAAGATTAATTTACTTTGAATATTAATTATTAATATCATACAAATTACAATACACAGTAATACCATACTTCACTATACATTCGTCTGAGGTAAAATTGAAGAAATAATAACAAGATGCAATGGTTGATAATACAATTTACTCAATTTACGATGTAAGTTTAAAAACAACAATTCAAAGACATGCATTAAATAAATAACACATTTTGAACAAAAGCATTTTGTAGGTTTTCCTTTCTTGTTTTCCCGCTAAACATTTGCAAGTAAACTGACATCTAACTTATGTCAAATGTAAATATGCAAATTAAAGACAAAGCTATGCTGGATCTTCTTCTAATACTCAAAAATTATTTTCATTGCCAAAAAATAATAGCTTGTCGATTTTTATTTTGTTTTATGAAATTTCAACAAATATTGTTCAGCAAAAATACAAAAAGCATGATTTTTGTCCAACTTTTTCCCTTGCCCAACAGACGATTGTAAATGTGGTCATGATGGTTATACTAAAGATGATACATTAAAAAAGATTTATATCTGTAAACCTGGTGCATTCAATTTTCTGGTCTACATTTCGGCGATTATGTTTTGCAGTATTTTACATATGGAAACCAGGAAAAAGGGATATCAGATTTGGGGGAAATTAATGAACCTTACGAGTACATGTATGATATATCAAGAATATACAAGAAATTACATGAACAGATTAGTTTTTATTCTATCTGCTGCTTTTCTGCAGATATATAATTCAATTTATATAGTTTGAACTTTTGTTCTTTTATTGTTATACTATCGCAGTACCTTAAATTATGGTCACTTTTCACATGTAATTTGTCATTGTTTTTATAGGACATTGGTTATCCAAAAATAACTGTCATTTTCGTACATTAAAAGAAAAAACTTTATGATCTTGTAAACTGGTATAAGTATAACAAAATAGTCAAATCTTACATGATTTATAACAATCTTAATAATAGATGATACATGTTCCAACTCAAAATGTAAGTCAACAAATTTCATAACAAGATTGCATTTGTGAAAAATGCTATGCCACCACATTAATACAACACTAAATAGTAGTGTAATGCTATGCCACCACATTAATACAACACTAAATAGTAGTGTAATGCTATGCCACCGCATTAATATAACACTAAATAGTAGTGTAGGAACAGAATTCTTTTTGTTTCTATACAATTAAACATTGCCATAATGCATAGATCCCTGACCTATCTAATTATTATAATCAGATTTGTGGATACAATAACAATTTCACCACAACCTATTTGTTAACAAGATCACATGTCAATGTTTGTGGTTAAATCTATTGTTGTTCAAATAAAATGTCAGAGTAGGGATCTATCAATGCAGTCGAGTCTAGTGAATTTGGAAGTGAAGGTCATATTTCAAATGGCCTAAATTTCATGACTGTACATAAATGGACACCACAGTAAGACTGTCAAAATCTAGGCCAGCTGATATCAAAGTTCAATTTACATCTTAAACTGTGCAGATGGTTTAAATTTCATAGCTGTACATAAAAGGACAAGAAAGTAGGCCACATCATTATATGCCTTTTACTAATAAGGTAGAATAAAATTTTTACTTGCCTTTTAACAAACTATAATAATATAAGAATAACTGATCATGTGGATTCTAATGAAATAATGAAACAATGTACAGGCAAGTTTTAAGAAGGATTTTCAACCTCAGATCATTTATTTGTTTTGAAACCCACATTCATGGGTGCAAGTTGGAAATTTTAAAAATCCTTTAAGTCCCGAATCCATCAGTTTTTCTATAGCTTTAATTAGGAAATAGAAGACTTCAGGAGACTGAAAATCCTGAACTTCAGGAATAATCCTGAAAACTTTCACCCATGCACATTATTCAAAAACTTCATAACAAAAGGAAAAAGCTTTTTAATTTGTTCTTTCATTAATCTAAAACAAACATTTGAAACAGTTTGGAGAAACAGTTTATGGAAACAAGAGGGCCATGATGGCCCTGAGGTCGCTCACCTGTATAGAGCCCTCCCCCTACCTCCGATTTTCACCCCAGGGCTTTTATTTGAACAAACTTTGTAGACACTCACTAGAAGATGTTTCATGCTTAATATCTAAACTCTAGCTATTTGTTTTTTTTCAAAGAAGATTTTTTAAGTTTTTGCTATACACATACATGTATAAGGAAAATCAATGACCCCCTGGGACGGGGCCAATTTTGACCCCAGGGCTTTTATTTGAACAAACTTGGTAGACACCCATTAGAACATGTTTCATGCTAAATATCTTAGCTCTAGCTCTTTGAGTTCTTTAAAAGAAGATTTTTTAAGTTTTTACTATATGCATATAGGGAAAATCAATGACCCCCTAAGGCAGGGCCAATTTTGACCCCGGGGCTTTTATTTGAACAAACTTGGTAGACACTCATTAGAAGATGTTTCATGCTAAATATCTTAGCTCTAGCTCTTTGGGTTCTTTAAAAGAAGATTTTTCAAGTTTTTACTATATGCATATAGGGAAAATCAATGACCCCCTGGGGCGGGGCCAATTTTGACCCAAGGGCTTTTATTTGAACAAACTTGGTAGACACTCACTAGAAGATGTTTCATGCCAAATATCTAAGCTCTAGGGTGTTTTTTAAAAGAAGATATTTAAAGCTTTTTCTTTCGGTTGCCATGGCAACCAGAGTTCTGCATGGAATGGAATCCTTTGAACAACTTTGTTAAGGCTTCACACAAGGAACATCCCTGTGAAGTTTCATTATGATCTGCCTTATGGTTTCAGAGGAGATGTGGTTTTAAAAGTGTGAACGGACAACGGACGACATACGACGGACTACGGACGAAGAGTGATCCTAATAGCTAACCCCGAGCGTATGCTCAGGTGAGCTAAAAACTGATACATTCAAATATTAATGGAAAATGTTTACAGGTCGTTAAATATTTGTACAATAACATTATATCAATTAAATGAAATTCTTGTGTCTCCATTTTTTCCCGTGTAACATAGGTGTAAGCCAATGAGACATCTATCAACATTGTTATTTTGACTAGTTTTAAAAGATTTAGAATCATATTTTTAATAAAAGGAATTACAATGGAAAATGAAAGTAACATAATTGACCTTACAAATCTTTTAAACTCTACGCGGATGATACAGTTATAATATAGGACCAAAAAATGATCTACATAAAGCATTAAATATTTATGAACAATTCTGAGATATTTGGAAACTATTTCTATCAAAAGTGTGATTTGACAACACATTTGCAAACTTTGAGTGGATCAACCATTCTGTTAAACAAAAGTTCAAAGAGCTTTTCTTAAACAAGTGGTATTATTAAACTGATATTCAACTTTCAAGTAACAGTTTCTTTTATAGAGTATTCAAATGGATCGACATTTGGATTCAAATTGTACTTGGCAAATTTAGATAGTTCACTATTGCACGTTTTTATAAAATTGAGAAGAAATTATTGATTTCCAATAGAAACTGGTAATTGGTCTAGTACTCCAATTAACAATAGATTTAGTGCTAATTGTCAAAACAAAATTGGCAACAAATTTCATTATTTATTTGAATGTTGTCAATTTATTGAAGAAAGAAAACGCTTTTTGAAAAACGTCGATCATCAACAACCAAACTTTTGTAAACTAGAAAATATCATGTGTACTAAAAACAAGTCTGAATTTCTCAAGTTGCGTAAATATATATTGTAAATTCCTCATATATGAATGCTTACATGTATTGAGAGAAATAAAGATTGTTATGTTACTGCATAAATGTCTCCCTGAATAGAATTTTCCAACAAAAGCCAGCACCTGGTTAAAACTACTCCCCTTTTTCTTCTTATACTGGAGCTTACTCACATTGCAAGAGGACTCAAACCTGAGAGGGGCAAGTTACTCAAATCAATCAATGACTTTAGCTAGTTGGTCACTGATTCTTTAAATTCGGTAAAATTATATATTTTACTAGAAATGACGAAATAGCCACATGTAAGTTAAGGACAAACTAATTATCTATATTCCTTGCAATGATATTAAATATACAAAATAAGATGAAGGAATTGCTGAATGTAGCAAGGGACTCCATATTATTGGCATGTTTTACTTTTTCCTATATGTCTGCACTGAATTTCAATGATGAATTTAATAATCAATATTTTGTGTGAAGCAGTACAAATTCAAATGATCATTACATTTTTAATGAATGTGGTCAAAGATTTTTTACCTCACCGTATGCATGATCGCATATGACAAAATACTGAGAGTATGTTGGTAATAGAGTTGTGCTGATAATATAGAGTTAAAAATATAAATAAAAGATAGTTAGATTGTCCAAATTCTTGAAACAATAAGGAATTTCACGTTGCCGGATTCTCAGCTAATTGTTCTAATCTTTCTTTTTCTGCAAGTTCTATATCTTTCTCGTCTTGTTTTATAAAGTCCTCTTTGATATCCTCTGGTATATCTACTTCCTTAAGATTCTCTCCAAAGTCTCCCGTTGGCTCATCACCTATTGGTGTATACAATATCATTTATTTTACATATCTTATCCATGAAACTACTTGAAAAATTATTGAAACATACAATACAGTCTTGGGCCAGTTCTCTAATGTTGTTAAAACTTGTGTTCTGACCCGGGCCTTTTGCTTTTTATGAACAAGTACATTATCCATGTAAATATTGTAAATTTATTCCATTTTTTTTTGGGTCTTATGCTTGCATGTGAAATTGTATCTGTTTTGTATAGACAAAAATAAAGCAATTGAATATGATCAAACTAAAAGTAAATTTGAACAAGTGTACCGAGAATAAGGTGACTAAATATCTACACTTAAAGTACAGGAAGTGCCTAAGATGACATATTTTATCATGATTGTAATAGATTTTAATATATACACCTGAAGATAGTTACTATCAATTTACTGACTCAGAAACTTTTTGTTATTGAAGAATGAATTTTGCTTAAGCAAGTGTTATGGGACACGTTGCACTTTTTATTGCGTTTAATTTACAGACTTAGTCTACCATTTATATACAGTCAAACGTGTATTAAGCGACCGTGCAAGGGAAACACCAAAAACGGTCGCTTCATGAAACGGTCTCTTAAAACAGTCAGCATGACATAAAAGATAAAATTTATAAATGACATCTTTTTTATTCGATGGGATTGTTTTTCAAATTCATTTTTATATAAATGTTGAATAATAAGTACGCTCCGATAATCTAAACGGATGCAAATGTAAAAATAACGTTCTGATATTTATTGACAAAACAGTTTTGATCCATTACGTACATGTTTGACATTTTTTCCAGAATTTTTTAACTTCTCCGTTGTTTTTCCTTGTCTCCAACACTAAAACCCTATTATGGAAGATGTTTTCTGCTGTGCATTTTTTCATTTGAAATAAACAAACTACATCTATTTGTTATGATTAATTTAATGGCTGATCAAGTTCAAGGTCAATTCAATGCAGTCTAAATGTCAACAAGCGAAGCGTATACACCATCTCAGTATGGGCGGAGCGTTGCATTGTTTATCCGATATTATTGGATAATACACGTCACGCGTATACTTAACTTCATTTGCATACGCTAAAACGGTATGGGAAATAGAGTTTTTCACACGTTTATTGTTGTGTTTTGATTGCTGACACTTGTGACATAACGAGGTGGCGTTCTCTAAAAACACAATTACTTAACAGGTAAAAGTGGTCGTTTAATGAAAAGATTGATGTCAATTAGGTGACTAATTAGCGGTCGCTGGTCGCGTTGAGCAAAAGTCGCTTAATACATTAAAGATATAGAGAGAAAATGATCGGGGGGAATTTAAAGTGGTCGTTTAAGACAAAAGTCGCTTAATACACGTGGTCGCATGGGCAAGTTGACTGTATATGTCATTGTTCACTATTTAGGTGAGATGGTTATCAGAGGCCCGATCGGTAGAACTGCGACAGGGTATTCCAAGGAACTCGGGTTTGAGTCCTGGTCAGGCTGCACATTTTCTCACCCTGTGACATAAATTTTCTTTGTTTTAATTGGTCTTGATGGGTCATTCTTTTTTAACATTTTTTTTAAAAAGGTTCTTCATTCAAGCTATTTCACATAATATTTATATATAATAAACTTTATACAAAACAAGAGTGCAAATTGACAAAATATGCCAGTCACAGATGCCCAGTCTCATAATATCTAACATGTTCATTAAAATCCCGCAGTTTATTATGACTAAATAATCAAAATGTATTCAATTACTTATTTCATCTAAGATCTCTGCATGTGATCTTGACATACAAGCTAGAAAACTAGGTGAGGTAAACCCAGTCTCACGACTGAGAATATTTTACATACAATGACTATCCATACACACATATATTCTTATCATATCATTATAGCCAAAGTAGAACCACTATCCCTTCCCTTTAAGAAGTTAGTTGATGAACTTCCTTACTTATATTTTTGACATCCTTGCCAGCATTTCAACTCACTGCTGCAGCAGTACAAACTAGGCTGATAACAAATATAGATTATACATTGTAATTTACCTATTAATATGTCAATCAAATTCATTGCAGCTATTTCATTTAATGGATCTATTTTCCTCTCCCAGGCATAGTACTCCCTCATAATCACATATGTGTTTTTGTCCTTCACAAACTTCTTCCCACTTTTTGTAGCACACAGCTGTAATTATTTACAAAGACATGGTTTGAGATATATGTTAACATGTACCGTTCAGTAATTATCAAATATTTTCATAAGCATTTACTTTGCTTCATTCATGAAACAGGGCAATCCAAACTGGGCGATTTAGGTAATAGATTTATCCTACAATGTATTTTTGATCCTTATTCTACCCATTACTTCTCCCCTAACCTGTTATAACTGAAAATGATTGCTGTCTTACCAGGCTCTATACTATCTGCTGCCCATCTTCAATTTTCATCTTGATATCCGCATATTTGATAACGAACAATTTAAAAAAAATGCTGGACAAGCCCATTTAAGTAATTCAGCAGATTAAAGGTTAAGAATTCCAATTTCAATAGTCGGCAGTTTAGGTCTGGCCAATTTGGACAGATGTTCAGGTTGTCCTCGCTTTAAACAGTTATCATTAGTCATCATAATCCAACATCCATAGAAGAAATCATTACTATTATAAAATAATAAAATTGTCAAAATTACACAGCTCACTGCTGTTAGCAAATGAATGCTTTATATTTCTGTTGTATTATCATAACAGAGTATAGTATAGTACAAAATATTGGTAGATGAACAAACCCAATGTAGCTCTCTTGCTTATTTACTGATATATGGTTTACTGAAGAAATTTGGAGCATAAGAAAATCATATACATCCATTTTTGTTAAAAATCTGTCAAAGCAGCATGTGAAACTCTTATTGTAAGAGAAATATCATTTTGAACAAAATTATGAAATTACTTGTAAAATGGCCTCTGACAACATTTTCCGGATATGAGCTTCTGGTTCCCTTGTTTTATCCGAGGGTAGATACTGGAGCTCGTCTGGTAACCGGTCCATATCATCATCATCAAATTCCTCTGGTCCAGCCAGGGGCAACAACAACCGTGGCAATATATCTACTTGGTCACCTAGCAACCATTCATGGCACTCTGTAAAAAATAATCATGTTAAATCTAAATCAGCTTTTTAGACGAATAAAATTTAAATTTAAAGTTTGATACCTGATGGTTAATCTTAAATGAAGGAGCACTTTTCAAAGATATTACAAAGAAACAATTAATTTAGAAACACTACATTAAAAGGTTTAACAATGCAATTACCCATTAGTGACATAACATTTCATTGACATTCAGTTAAAAGCAAAATGCCTCCAGATTCATGCTAATTTTCATGAAAATTTTAAAAACAATTTTAATAAGTGAACAAAGAAAGCTATAAACACATTGCAAACAGCACTTACAATCTACTAGGTCAGTAGAAATATGGTGATAAATACTGCAAAATCAGTTATTTATCATAGATAACATGAAAATTATCTATCGAAAACTTTTCTTAAAATCTTAGCACTTAATTATTTTTCTCAAGTTTGATTTTCTTGAAATATTTTCGCTCATCTAATTCATAATCAGATTGTTTTTTTTTTTTACTTGTAGTGTGTGAAAAACAGTGAATGTATATAAACAAATAAGATCGCAATCCACGATCTCTGGACTGACGAATATTCATACTCGATTTTTCTTTTTGAATTGTGATTATCCGAGTACTCGGATACTCGCCACAGCCCTAGTACTTTGACATATTTTTTGAAGGATAGGAAAAAAGACATGTAAATGTTAATAGTCAGAATTAGCAAAAAATCTCAAGACATAGACACATTAAATAAACATTTACCTGTATCAAAGCAGCAATTTTTTAAAGTTCCAATTACACCTCCTCTTCTAATAGAAGACTGTTTGAATTCTGTAAAGGGCAGTAACCTCTGTATAATACATTGCTCTTTATCCATTATTTTACTTCTTACCTCCCTTACCTGGGATAAATTTGACAAGACAGCACCCAAATAGTGCAAATCTGCGTTGTCATTATGAACTATATTACACAAAACTCGCACAATCTTTTCAATACCGATGTCTTCATTCTCTAGAACCTGTTTTGATACAAAATTTGCACATTTCTCTGGCCGTGTCAAATTTGATAACAACTTACAAATATTATCCGCATATTTACAAGAAGGGTTTAAAGCACTTTTTATCCACTCAATAACCTTATTTTCATACTTTTCTAAATTCAGAATCTTCAAGCATGTGGATTCCTCACTAGCTAGATTAATCAATGCCTTAAACACACTTTCCCGAATGTCTGTTCTTTTGTCCTCTGTCAATGACACAAGTCCTTCAAGAAGTCTCTCGCTACCCTTCAAAAATTCACGCCCCTCATCTGTTCCAGTTAAACCAACCACGTTCTCTACAGCTATTGTCTTTAGCTCCTCTTTAGTATTTGGACTAAGAAAAGGGGCAAGTTCTTTTTCTAAAAGTTCTTTATCCATTATATAATTCAAAGCTTTTATCTCTGCAAAAAAAATTACTTGTTATAATATATATAATTTTTTTTATAGATCTCTAAATTCTATCATTTCCAGATGTGATATAAACCCATATGAGCACTACCTGAAACAGAAAACAAGAGCAATCAGTAGTACAGTGTACTCTACAATTCTCAGTGCTTGAAAGTAAAACATGAGCTAGGATAATGTAGAATTTTCTAAATTTAAAAAAGGCCATATCTCTGTCAGTCAATGTTAGAGATATGTGCCTTGAAAAAATAACCTTCTAAAATGCTCTCAAATAAGTGTGTGAAGTTTCAACCCATTCCCTAAAGTGGTTTTTGAAATACCAACTTGCTAGTAAAACATAAAGTGTGATGCTGATACCTCTGTGAGTATATTCAGTCGGCCATGACGTTTAGGAGCTACGCAAAACCTGATAACAGATTAGACTCCTGTACTATATTTAGAACATCTTTGTTGACATGATTTCAATACTTATAATTCAAGATAATGTTTTTATTTATTTTCTTAAATTTTTCAGTACTTTAACATCTTTAATATCTTTAAAAAAAGTTATTCATAAAAAGGTTTGGCGCACATGGGTTCTGTTTTCTTAACTGTCAGCGCAAATTAACCTGTAAACGTCAATCTCGTAATCACATGGCCAAACATTTTGGCAATATCGGCAGCCAAGTGCTGAATTTTCTACCTGTCGGAAACTGTAATGTTTGTATAAATGAGTTTTTTGTATGTCCATCCTAAGGGCTCTGGGCTGTCATTGAATATAGCAATATTGATATATCATTGATATTCATCATTGAATACAATATAGATACACACTTCCAAATATCAATACAAGCTAAATTTTATTTATTTATTTATGTAAGTGAATATACCTCTATATTTTGCCTTAAAGAGAAGTCATTTTTTTTTCCATTTTTTTTGGCTAACTTAAAACTCTGTTTTCAAATATCAGTGAGAAAAATAACAAACTTTCTTTTAGTTTTTACTATTTGTATATAAAAAGTATTTAAATTAACTGTTAAACCTACCATATGTCAGACCATTTTACATACGATTTATACAGTGAGATACGCAACCGGTTATCATTACTCGAAAACCTACTGATAAGAATAGCCTGTCGTCTGCTAGTTGGGGAAAGTGTTTATTGGTGTATTACACTATATATGGCCCCTTTGGCATGTACAGAAGCAATCAGTACTGTTTGACATCCTGCCTAGGCACGATGCGGTGGATGAACTGTTCTCTGGTAAATTCAATGTGGCTGACTGCCGTGATCCGGAGTGAAAACTACCAACACCACCACCTTTTAAAAGCTACGTAATGCTAGCACTAGTCCAATAGATTAGACGTTACAGGCTTGTTATAGTTTTATGTTGGTCAAGCCTGACGTCTAATAGTTATTGCTCATAAACGCGTAGCATTTTGAAAAAATTTAAAAATGTCTGTTGACTTGCCTTTCAAGCTTTATTCAAAAGCTTAACTTCTGTTCTTTCAATTGCATGGTCTATCATTAACAAAAACTTTCAAACAATGCACTTATCAATTAAAAATAAAATATAAATAGCAGTCTATTTCGCTCATCGGCCATACTGGATAAGTAAAGAGTTTTACAGATTGATTCCAATTTTTTTAACAGAAAAATATATTCGAACACACTGGCAGTGCATGGGCAATTATTTCGTTGAAAAAATATTCTGTTAGATTGTTCTGACTCATTTAAACGCTTGCATTTGAATTAGCTAATCAGATTTCGCGCACTGTATGGCGGCCATTTGTATATCGGCTGTACAAGGAATTAAATTTAAATGAGAGGATTTAATAATGACTTTTCGACGTGACAGTTCAATTATTTTGTTAAAAGGTATTCATTTTTTAGTTTTGTTCATGAATAAGTCAAAATTAATGTAAATACACGCTGTTTTAATTGTTTAAATTCATTAGATCTAAATCGATGTCTAAATCTAATGTCATTTTTTTGCTACACGATTTTGTAAAGATCTGTTAAGACCTAACGTAACATGGAAAATGAAAAATGTAAAATATCAGATTAATGAATGATAAATATGAAATAGGTTACGTACGTATAGGTCTTATAATTAGGACTATGCTAGCACCTGACCTGCCTTTCTTTCTGATATTTGTACGGATCTTTAAACGTTGTGTCACGGGTCAACTCCCCCATATTTTGTCAGTTTACCGTGTTTTCTCGTAATATAATGTGTAACTGTAAAACTGGTAGTCTTTGAAAGCACACCATAGTATAAATACTTACAAAATTATGTAGCACAACGTGTTTTTGTGTTGTTGTTGTTGTTTTTATTAAATTATATCCAAAGAAATTTAACGACCAGAAACATAAGAAACCACAGCAAAGTGGGTACGTTACGATACCGAAATCAACTTGATTTCGGTAAAGTTACCGAAATCAACTTTTCATTACCGAAATCAACTCGTAAAAACCAAACTAGTTAAAATATTGCTATTATTTCTTCATTATTTGATGAAAAATAATGAAATAGACTTTCAGTTAAAAAATCTAGTGAAAATATTGTATTTTAATGATGTTATTAACAAAAATGTAATTATTGAGTTACTTCCATTTGTTCTAAACAACCCGTTATGTGTTTAGCATTACCGAAATCAGCTGTGAAGTTTAAATTATGTATATAATTAGTAGATAATGTTGAACGGTTTTGTAAAGATCTCACTAGGTTAAGAGTATCATCTCATAGATTGCACATAGAATCAGGTAGATGAACTAAACCAAATAGTACACCTTTAAAGGATAGAAAATGTTTTTCATGTAATGTCTTAGAAGACGAATACCATTTCATATTAGAATGCAATGTATATAATGATAATAAAAAGTCTGATACCGCCATATTAGCATGTTATATATCTGCACGTGATTGTCGTGCATAACAATTTTCTAATCAAATCGTATTTTTAAAAAGCTATGATCGGACTATGATGGAAAAATAAAATACTCTGTAATATGAGTAAAAGATATTTATAAATTTTGTACATGTTTATGTTTTATGAAGAAAAAATATCCAACTTCAACCGGAAGTTTATGATTTTCTATTATAAATTTGAATACGGATATATTATTCGACTGCTCTAAAAATGTTCCATAAAAATTGTATAATGTATCAGGCAGTAAAATTGGAAATTGGAAAGTTGGTGTCTTTCTTTTATTGAACAGTTTAACTATATATTATCAAATCGCTAACATATGTTATGGCAATATGGGGACTCTTTATCATAATATTTTTAAATTTTAGTCATTTATTTAAATGTTTATTACGACATAAACAGATGGTTCATTATAATCTTTTATCTTTAACATACATTGTATGCCAACTGTACCTCCTGTCTTAATTACTTCACACCTTACTTAATACAGTAATACACAACATGTCAAATCGTACAAGTTACAACATTTCATAATTGAAATTTGTCAGTATAAAGTGTTCCATTTTTTCCATCATATAAATATATACCAGTCATTCCATAAATTTATGCTGTTTACAGATATGAAATTTAAAATGATTTTAAATCGATCAACATAAAATCATGACTTAACACTTTTTCAATAAGTAGAATATGTAGTTAAGTATCCGGGACATCAAAAATTGCATACATTTTTGGAACAACTGATATGCAATTTGGTAATAATAATATCAAAGCACCTTGTCTCATATACCGAAATGTTTTCTACGGAAACGTATAGCGACCACCCCTATATGTTAGTTAAAACAGATCTTTTGACAATTTATTTAATATAAAATTATATTTTTACCAGCTTACTAGATCTGAAATATTTATACTATAAAACTATAAAAAAAAGTCTTTTGATATATATTATATAGGGATGGTCGCTATACGTCATTTTATATTAAACTGTAATGTACTTTTTGTCTTAATGGAGACAAGCAGCTTTAATTTCATGTAAAATAATTATGTCTAATTATGTTGTTTGGATACTTTAAAGTTTCCATGCGCCGATGTATATTAAAGGATTGCGGTGAACGAGTATGTTATGTCAACTAACACCTCCATTGTCCGAGCACGTGTATGCTTGCTCCTTATTAGTAAAGGTGTTATGATGAATGGCTACCGCTACGTCTTTTTATTTTAATCAAATCATAATCATTGGATTTAAATTAAATACTGTGTTAATTTCCAATCAACTATTTCTGAAATTCATGCAAATTATTTAGGGGTTGTTCTCATCTTTGAAATGAAATCTGATTTGATCTCGGTAATGCAACACATTAATAACAAGGGAAGTAATCATGATATAATATACATATCCGTCTATAACATGATCATTTTTATAATTAAATATTATTTTCCTTTGTTTATGATTCAGTTTGAATGACTTTATATCAATTAATTAAACAAGATCTATTAAAATGTTTATTTTAACTTTTACAAGCCGATTTCGGTATGGTAACATATATTTCGGTTCGTAACAAATCAGGGAAGTATTCTTGATATTTAGTTATTTGTTTCTAATATCATTATAAATAATTATTTCGAACTGATTTTTTGCATGAAAGTCAAACTAAACCTATTAGATTATAATGGAAAAAATATAATAGAACGCTTAATTATGATTTTACAAGTCGATTTCGGTATTGTAACATATATTTCGGTTCGTGACAAATCAGGGAATAATCAAGTTGATTTCGGTATCGTAACGTACCGCAGCAAAGTTTTCTTATAGATTGAACACCACTAAATTATTTGTAATTCCAAAGTACTACAAAGTGCTCCTATCATCTATCAATCACGTACATGTACTAGTTTAAAAGTATTGTTGTTATTTTAGATGGCATGTATATAGATTTAAATTTTATTTTACCATATTTTTATGTATTGAATTATGCTGTAAACACAGGAGCTTGAAATTCTATTAATAATCGCCCTAAAGTCCGATTAAAAAAACCATATCGATAAAAAAATATATAGATACGGATTTTTTTTTAATCGGACTTGAGGACAATTATTGGTAGAATTTAAAGCTCCTGTGATAAAGAACGTGTTTGGTTGTTGTTATGATATCAAGATTAGATAACTCTTTACGTTAATGGGATTACTTCCCTTTATTTGATATTCATTAATGCTATGTTAAATATATGATCATGCCTCTCTGATACCTAGGTCATTCTCCCTTGAGCTCTGGTCTTAACAACATGTATTAAATGGTTATAATAAATAGTAGAATAGTTTGAATCTTGTTATCATCCATACAACATAACATGGTGTCAGAAGTAAACTAAAGGAACAATATTGTGATAAAAGGAATCTAATTAAAAATTTATTTGGAATTGGATTTAACAAGCATTCTTGAAAGAAATTAAATTGTGCGCGTCACAAACATTTAACTTTCTTCAGAGGAATAAATTAATTCTACACCTTAAAAATGGATTTAAATGGTGTACCCATACCAACAATGAACTGGGACAGTCAGAACCCTATGGAGGAGTTCAAAAAGTTCAGGCAGCATGCAAAACTTATATTTAGTGGCGTGTTAAAAGAAGAAGAAGTATAAGTTACTTACTTATTACTTTGGATTGGTGACAGAGGCCGCCAGATATATAATACTCTTACATTAACTGAGCTCCAAAGAAAATCAATAAAGGCAATTTCGGATGCAATTCAAAAACATCTACAACCAAAATCAAATCCTGTATTTAGCAGATACAAATTCGACAATGAAAAACAGGGAAACAGTACGATAGAACAATTCATCACGCGTCTAAACACATTGGCAAATGATTGCGCTTTTCATGCAGGGTACAGAGATGATGTCATACGAGATCAAATAGTTATTGGAATTACGTCGGAAAAACTAATCACGGAAGGCGAAGCATTGACTCTTGAAAAAGCAGTCAGGATATCACAGTCACATAAATATGCACAGTCACAATTACGTGATATGACTAATTCCAAAAGCATTGATGACATTGATCACAAACGACATTCGATGTCAATACGCCAAGATGAGACAGGAAATAAACACAATCACCATTCAAGACAAAAACAGCAGATAACAAAATGTGGACATTGTGGACAGTCACATCACAGCAAAGATCGATGTCCGGCTAGAGGAAAACAATGCAAGAACTGCCATAAATGGAACCATTATGAAGTCGTGTGTAGATCAAACAAAAAAGTGCAATAAATAGAGACTGGAAACAATAACAGTGACAGTGAATTTTGTATTGGTGCAGTTGATTCACATTCAAAGGGACAGGTATTTGTTGATTTAAAGGTGGGCTCTAAAGGTCATTTTAAACAGTTTAAACTTGACACAGGCGCATGCTGTAACATCCTTTCTGAGGCAGATTTCAAATCCCTCAAGGTCAATACCCCCTTAAAGAAGCCAACTGTCAAACTCACTGCTTACTCAGGCACTGAAATTAAGGTTCTAGGTGTAGTAGATCTCTCATGCAGCTACAAGAAGAAATGCACAAAACTTGTAGAATTTTATGTCGTGAGAACAAACAAACCCTCAATCCTAGGTTTACAATCATGCCTTGACTTCAATTTAATTCAGATTGTAATGTCCGTAGACCAGAATGAGCAAATGAGTAAAAATTATGTCTTGCGTGACTTTCCTGAAGTTTTTCATGGCTTTGGAAAATTACCTGGTGCTTGTTCGATCAAAGTAGATCCCAAGTACTCTCCAGTAATTCATCCTCCCCGACGTGTTCCTGTAGCTCTTCAGAGCAAGGTTAAAAAGGAACTTGATGCTATGGAAAAGGCTGGAATCATAGCCTAGGTCACCACACCAACAACTTGGGTGAATAGTATGGTCGTAGTCAATAAGCCACATTCTGATAAAGTTAGAATTGTAATTGACCCTAAAGACCTTAATAAGGCAATCCATAGGCCACATTATCCTACAAAAACCTTAGATGATATTTTGCCGCAGTTAAAATCTGCAAAATATTTCACAAAACTTGACTGCAAATCAGGTTACTGGTCTGTTGTTTTAGATGATGAATCATCATATCTAACCACATTCAACACCCCTCAAGGTCGTTATAGGTATCTAAGATGTCCGATTGGACTGAAATGCAGCCAAGATCTTTTCCAGCAAAAGATGGAGTGCTTAGAAGGCTTACTTGGTTGTAGTGTCATTGTAGATGACATTCTTGTTTATGGTTCAACTCGAGAAGAGCATGACATAAACTTAAGAAACTTACTTGATAGGTGCCGCCTAAAGAGCATTAGGTTAAACGAAGACAAACTTGTTGTTTGCGTCTCGGAGGTTACGTATTTTGGTCACATCCTCTCAGCTGATGGATTTAAATCAGACCCCGAAACATGTA